GTTATGCGAGGCACCACTGTACATAAAATTATTTATTTATTTATTTATTTATTGGACTTATATACCGCCCCATAGCGCTACAAGCACTGACCGGGCGGTTTACAATTTAATTATACAGGCTACACATTGCCCCCCCCCCAGCAAGCTGGGTACTCATTTTACCGACCTCGGAAGGATGGAAGGCTGAGTCAACCTATAATACAGTCTTACCATAGCAAACAGCAACAATAAAATATTTAGATTTGGAATCCAAAATGGGGGAAAGAACAGAATGAACATACAAATGTAAATATATGTACAGTGCTTTTAAAAAATAAACAAAGATAGGTAGTTTGACTTAAGTCTTCCATTTTAACACATTTCCCTATGATGGTGCACATAGTAGAGGTGCCTGTCCTTTTTCTGCAAGAGTTGAAAGCTTGCATTCTGTACAATTAACCATGCTGCAGGGAGGTGAATATAAAATGGATATTGCCATGCTTCTGTATTTTACATTCCATTGTATGGTGTACTCATAGAGTTTGCTGGTTTTCTTCAGTTAGGCATCTCCTGGCCACCAAATATTTAATTAGAAACAAAAATCAGAGTTGCTTAAATGCACAGCGGGAAAGAAGCATGTAGGACTTCTTACTCAGTAGCATGTTGTATTAGACCAAATTACAGGAAAATGGTCTGTTGACTCACCCGCTGTGCTTTGAGTACACAGTAATTGCAGGAAAAGTCTTGCCTGTGTTGGTACACAGTCACTTCAGCCTGAGGTCAGCTGGCTGTCTGCATTTGGCAACCCATAGAGGATTTGGCTGTTGGCATGCTACTTCAAATATCACTTTCCCTGCCTTTGCAGTGGTCTGTAAAATGCCAAACTCTTGAGCACAGTAGCATATGGCTCACAACTGAAATCACCTTGTAGTGAGGTGGAAATTACAGGAGTCTGTCCAGGTTCAGGCTTTTGTGAGGTGTCTCTCCAAAGGAAAAAAAAAAAAAAAAAAAAACAAGGAGCCCCCCGGAAAATTATTTTATTTAATGAGCTGAAGTGCTGTAGCTTCAAAACCTTTTCAGCTCCATACTCCCAAATACTTTTCTAGTGCATTAAAACACTAAACACTCTGCAGCATTATGGAATCCAATGTTAGCTATGCATCTTGCTTTCTCAGTTCTTGGATTGTAGCTATTATTGCTCTCTAGAATTTAGAAAACACAATACACTTCCATACTGATCATTCATTAAATCAGTGAAAATTTACAGTTCTTCTCAACATGTTGCCCATCAGCAGTTGGCAGTAAACAACTGAGTGAAAAATCCAGGAGATGCTAAAATATTTAAGCAAAAACTCTATATTGAATAAATCCCTGGCAAACTATTCCACCCTGTACACTCTGGTGAGAATGTTTAAATGCAGAGAAAATAATCTGGTTTTGCTGAATGGAGCACTAAACTTCTATCATTTTACTAGAAACTTAGGAACTCCTGTGAGAGGGAAATTGTGTGCCTTCTTGCTTCATCTCTGTCCCTTGTTGGCTCCCTACCATGTTCCCTGCTGTCTGGCTCTTGGAAGCTGCAATCTTCTACCCTCATTTCCTGCTGTGAAACAGCTGACGGGCAGCTGTGAGGGCTGGAGCTGGCTGGTTTTTGAGAGCAAAGGCAAAATCTGCTGTGGCTTGATGTGTATACAGAGAGAAGGGCAGTAAAAATCATCTTGTTGTGGAATGTTTCAAGGCCAGAATTATGGCCTTGAATGTCAGTTGGCTTTTGACCTTTTTCAGAATGATAAATTATTATTTCATTTTTAAATAATGTCATATTAATTACAATAATTAAATGAAAGGGGCATCTCATCTCATTATATGTATTATTATTGTGATCTTGTTCTGATGCACTGGAAGCCCTAGTTTGGCAGAGCAGTAGACCAATAGCTTGTAATTAGAGATGGGCACAAATTAAACGATGAACCAGAAAAAAAATGATTTGGTTCATGGTTTGGTTTATACAACCCGTTTTGCTGCAATGAAATGAAGCACCAAACTTTTTTCCGCTTCTTTTTCAGTTTGTTTCCCCCCCCCCCAAGTTCATTATACCTTAATTGCCTTTTCAGATGCATTATCCACTCTACACCTATCTGCCAGAATACATTTTGCTTAAACATAAAGCAGTGGATCCAGTTTTTGGCGTACTTAGAGTAAACTCATTAAAATAAATGCCACATATTTCAATGGTAGACTTTATAATCGTAATTTAGAAGAACTGAAGTGTAAAAAGAGTACTTATTTTAGGCTTAGATTATTAAAAGTTGACACAGTGAGCCTGTAAATTTGTATACTTCTTAACAGTCTTAACAGCTTTTTCAGTTCAATGATTAGCAGTCTTTGGGTAGCCTGGATTTGTTGGTGAAATAAGGCTTTGTTGTGTCATGACTTCTTCTAACCTATAACCATCATTTAATTGGAATGAATTGACTACTGCCAACATTCTAAGTCAGTTCAGATGACCTTCTTCTTCTGTCTAAAGAGAAAACATATCAGGGGAATGGTATTGGCTAACCTGCTTCCAGCAAAAATTGAATTTGTTCGGGCAGACTCCCTTATGACCACCACCACCCCCTCTTTTTCTGTTTGCCTTCACGTGGATCACTCCTAACTGAGATCTGACCTAGAGAATGGAAAAGTTAGTTTATTTGCCTATTCTAGTCTTACTTGAAAAATGTCAAACCCTTAAGTGTTTCATAGCTAAGGCAAGAAATAAAATCTCCTGAATTCACTAATCAAAATTTTGTATATGCTGTATATGGTGCTGTTTCTCATCTTCTGCTACTGTCAGTGTTGTAATGTTTCCTTCCCATGCACGGAAAAAGAACTAACATTGTTTTTCAGGTATCCATAAGTGTGGTTTGTCCCTATAGCATAGCGGATCATTTATTTATTCTTTCTTTATTTGCAGTGGCATGCACTGTCCCGCGAAGAACAAGCTAAATATTATGAACTAGCTCGGAAAGAAAGGCAGCTACACATGCAGCTCTATCCAGGCTGGTCTGCAAGGGACAACTATGTAAGTTCCTCATTTGAACTTTCCTCAGTTGTATTTGCTGCAGTTAAAGGGCCAAGGAAGCAGCTGGTGGGCATTGGCTTTGGGTTTATTTTTTAATTCTGTTTTTACTTTCTTGCCTCTTTCTAGATAATTTTCACATATCTCCAACTGATCCTGAATGTGTTTTTCTGGTCAGCTTTATGCCTTGAGACAAATACATGGAAAAGCTATTAAACAGTAGATAGTTGGTATGCAAACATGATGGTTTGCATAAGGGGCAACATGATGCTGTATGTGGGTAACGAGTAGAGATGGGCATGAACAAATGTTGATTTGTTTTGATTCATGATTCACCAAGATAAACAAATAACGAATTATGAATTTACCATTTTTTTTCCTGACGAATCAATGAATTGGTTCATCAATTTGTTTTTTACTTTAAAACTTTATAAAATGCCACCAAGCACCTAGAGACTCCAAGCTCACATGAAAGCTTCCCCTGACTCTCCTTTACAAGCCCTGCAAGTTTAGTGAAGTTTGGGTTTTGAATATCCAGGTTATATGCTTGTATGGAGGGCACCCCGAGGAAGGTTCCCTCCAGGCACCCAGAGACACCAAAATCACAAAGAAGCTTCTACAAACTCTCCTCTAGAATCCCTCCAAGTGTGGTGAAGATTGTGTTTCAGGCATCGATGTTATACACCCACAAAGTGGGTCCCCCCAGAAAAGTGCCCTTTAGCAAGTGGCTTGGGGATATACCCAATCTTTGCCAAACTTGGAAGGATTGTAGAGGAGAGTCAAAGGAAGCTTCTGTGCAATTTTGGTATCTCTAGGTGCCTTGGGGGCCATTTTATACCCAATGAATTGACAAAAAATTGCTAACAGTTCACTGATTCGTATTCATTGGGGGCATTTATGCACCAAAAATTAGCATTTTTTGATTCTGATTCATTTTTTAATTCATGCCCATCTCTAATGACAAGCCCAGCTTCCCCCAATTCCTCTTCCTTTGATGTTTTGGTCCCTCTCTGTTCCTCCTGGTCCCTCCCCTTCATCTTTAGGTGAGGTGGCCATTCGTGGTCTACTACCATCCCTGAAGTTTGTAACCCTTTCCTCTCTTTCTAGCCATTTCTGTGCTTTCCTCCCTCTTTCCCTTCAGAAAGAAGGTTTGTAGAGGACTCTGTTCCTCCCTGTCTCATCTTTTGGCACTTTCAGCTTAAGGAACTCTCCTGACCTTAGGTCTTCTTTAATGACTCATTCCCAACCCTCGGGAAGCTCTGTTTGTCTTCCTTTCCATTGTGTACCTGGCTTTCTTTCCACATTTGCTTCACCTTCCTCTTTCCTCCACCACTAACACAACTTTTCTCTTCCTTCTGATTTTCCTCCTCATTCTTCCCCTCCTTCTCTCTTCCTACTCCGTTTTTAAAATCTCTTCTCATTTTCAGCTTCTCCTTTTTTAACTATTTTTTCGCCCGGCTTTTGACTGGACCCCATGTTTTAAAAGTGGCTCCTTTTCTGGACTTTTGATAAGAGTCTGGGCTATGGGCTCTAAGTAGGGATTCAATCTCTAATATTTCTATGCCCATCTGTATTTGGTAGCTGGAGGTTTCGTATCCCTCTGCTTCTTGGGGGGGGGATGGTATGCTAACAGGGAGACTACTCTCCCTATTGCCCTTCTCACAAAGAGTTTTTTTATTAATGCATTTGCCACTTACTCTTTAAAACAACTTTCTTTCTTTCTTTCTTTCCCTCTCCTTCCCACTGAAATTCTGTGCTGAAGACAGCAAAGAACTATTTGTCTGAGATTTAGCTAAGACTGAGCCTTGATTACTCCTAAATAAAGAATTCAAAATCCAACCTAATCTCCTACCTAGTCCTGACCTTGGAAATGCAGTCCCTCACACATAGATGGAGATTTCAAGCAGTAGTTGGCTTTATCCATAATACAATATACCTAGGTAATGCCAGATAAGTAGACATGTCTTCAAATCAAACTCCACAAAAAAACCCAATGAGTATCAAAGAACAGAGAACCTCTTTTACCTAGACCTTCTATCCATTGAATTAAATCATATGTTTAGTCCCTTTTGAAAACTGTGTTCCATCTCAATGAATGATAATAAAATGGGAGAAAAGGCGGTAGTGGGCCATCCAAGTATTGAAGGTGGGAACATATGTAGATTTTTCATCTGACTATATCAGCATCAAGAACATGTACCCTAGAATGTTTCAGACTCTTCCCAGACAGAAAATATATTGCTGCATTTTCAGGTGAACAACTGAATGACTGATTGTTTCAGGCAGTCATTAGTACCTATTCCATTAAAATTATCAGATGCACTACTATAAGATGTCATAATAGGAGTCACTTGAATTAACTTTCTTAAGATGAAGGATGTAATAAGCAAAAAGAAATTAAAATTTGTGCTGAGAATGCACACAATACAGTGCTATACTGTATGACATAGAAACATGGATTTTAATCACGTTGAACTTTGCCATTTGCATATTACTGTTCATTACAGTAATTAGCCATTTTGAACTGCAATATTTTTGCCAACACCTCAAGTAGTCACTGTATTACACATGAATAGGACTTTTGGCAAACCAATCCTTTTCTAGAACATAAAGTCATATTTTCAAATACTGTTTTAGTTTATGACTAATAATAATCACTCCCTATCTTATTTATAGTGTTGGGTTCTTGTGAGTAGTTTCTTAAGATATTTTATACCTAGAAATAATATTATTGTGATTTGTATTGGGAATACTCCACACACATCATTCAGCTACTATGTGTTGCAAAACTTAATTCACTGTGAAGAACGAAGATCAGTAAATGATCTTCCATTCTGCATTGAAACCTGCACAGTTCTTTATTACTGAATATTGATGAAACTGTCTCAAGAGTAATCTCTGCAGTATCTTAGAAATATAGAGTTGTTTTATATATTGGATATAGATATATAGTGTTTAGAAAAAAAATGCAAATATAATGTTTAAATATGGAAGTGATTAGAAATAGCTTTTAATAGTTTATTGCCCTAAAAATAGTATGTCATTTGGAAGCAATATGATTATATGCTTTTCTAAACAGACTTTCATCATTTTCCTTGGTTTCTGTAGGGAAAGAAAAAGAAGAGAAAGAGAGAGAAGCTACAAGAGTCAACATCAGGTGTGTTTTATAGATAGATATTGGTGTTACTATTTAGAGTTCTTTAAAAACACAGTATGTTGTTTAATACTTTGGTTATATTTCTTGTATAAAAACGTCTGTAACTATTTGTATATACTTTAACAGCACTTTTCCTTATTTAAAAATTAGTGTCGTCATTGCTTTTGTCCTCCTGTGCCCAGTTAACAAATGCATTATGAGGGAATGGATGAAATCAAGACCTATTCTATTTGTTTCAGCATCTGGAATAAGAGAACATCTCCATTTATTTGGAGTCTGTTACAGGTTCAGAAACCGGAGATTAGCTGATAGGACCTATGGGTGCAGGTTCTCATAATTTTCTCCTACTTGCTGATTGCATGGCTGTACTGAAAAAGAGAAAGAGTGTTTCCAGCAAGACAGCCAAGTCTGCGTGATTTTGTCATATAGGCACTCTGGCTGTGGGTTGTGGCAACTGAAGTTTGTTTTCAGAATTGCCAACTCTTTGCCCGCAGATGTAGACAATGCCAGCTGACAAGCAAGGCAGTAATCAAGAGTTGACTTCTGTGCTTCTTCTCCTTATGGAGCCTCATCTAGCTTCAATACACACCACCTAGAAATCTCTTTTTACATGTGCGTTTGCCTTTTCTGGCTCTAGTGAACTCCAGAATAATGGAACATACTTCCCTCTTCCGCCTGCTGAAACAGATAGCAATAGAGATCTTGCATCAACACATTTCCTCAGGGTGGAGATATCTCATTGATGGAATGTATGAAATATACAAATTCCGACTGCCCTTGTGTAATTTTTTAGGATACTAGAAATGGTCTTAGCAGCTGCCTGATATATCAGCTCCAAACATCAGTGAGGTCCTTTCACATCTTTCTTTTTCTTTTATTAAATACATATATTAAACAAAACAAAATGGCTGGTATAAGAACCATGAAAGTCAGAGGAAATCAATCGGCAATCCATATTCTAGCATAAGACCTTTTATTTGGGGTGTGCAAAAAATCTTTAATGAAAATTTGTTAAAGAACAACAATCTTCTACAGGTACAGCCCCACGAATGACAGCTGCCTACATCTGAAGCATGGTAAGAGTTATTTCTAAAAGCCTTTCTGCTAAATTGACAAAAATAACAACTTGTAACATTTTCTCACTTTTAACTCTTGAATAAATCATGGATTTATAGCACATATATTCTAAAAGTGCTTTGTCCTCAAATGAATGTTCTTATGATTGATGGTTTTTATACCGGCTATGTATTTTAGCCCCAATTCTTGTAAATTTTTGGTTTAACTTATACTTTCTAAACAGGACATACCTCACTGATTAGCTACAAGTCTGTTGGTAAAGCACAAGAATTATCACTATTCAGCAGCTGAACCATTCTGGCTGGCAACATACTTTTAAAAAAGACACAAAAACAACTCCACAACACCCTCCCCCTGACTCATTAGAAACAAATTAGAGTGATTTCTTAGCATTCAAATCAACTTGTTCTAATTGCTAGGTGAATAATGCTGACTGAGCAGGGCAGGCAGTATTGGTGTGAGATTCTCATGAATTATTTCATGTAAATTTCATATTTATAAATACTATAATGAAGTGATTCTATATGTCAGCTCTTGGGACTTTATTCTTCCTTAATTGTGCTAAGTGTGGGGAAGGTGGCAGGAATACTCACAGGAGAATTAAAGCTGCAAAAACTAAGGTAGATATCTGAGTTAATGGCAATGATGATGGTTGTCTAAATGTCTCCCTTTCATTTTGCCATCAACTCAAGGCTTAAATAATGGGCTCATCAGCTGCTCTTATTCACAAATTTTCAGCTAAGAATCTTTGGTTTACTAGCAAAACACTAGAAGTATGCTCTATTTCCAGGAATTGAGATTTAAAGAAAATTAAGTTCTGGAAATGGTTGTGTTTTTCCTCCCAAAAGGTGCTAATATTTAATAGATTGAGCACAAGATGTTATCAGCCTTTTGTGTACATTTTTCTCACTTTGTTCTTTTGTTTGCGTCCTAAATGCCCTCTACTGGTTCATTTGCAAATACAGGTTTTATATTTATCTGTTCCTTAAGCTCATTTTATGAAAGAAAATGCAATAGTAAGCATGACTAAAATATATTTAAATATATATATTTAAACTACATGATTGTTTTTCTACATTTTGCTGTACAGTGGGGTCTCTACTTACGAACGGCTCGACATACGAACGTTTCGACTTACGAACCGCTCTCATAGGGATATATGGACTCGACTTACGAACTTAGATTCGAGTTACGAACTCTTTTTTTCCTTTTTTTTAAAGCTAAGTCATCTTAGGTTAAAAGGAAAAAATATCCCCCTCTAGTGGCAGAAGGCGGAATAGCAGCTTCCCATTAGTTTCTATGGACGAAAAGAGCAGATACAGATTAAATGGTTTTCAATGCATTCCTATGGGAAATGCAGATTCGACTTAAGAACTTTTCGACCTGAGAACTGCCTTCCAATACGGATTAAGTTCGTAAGTCAAGACCCCACTGTATTGGATTTGAAACTCAGTGATCTAACAGTAGTGAATGTTATATTTTTAATGGAATAATTACTAATACCTTTTTCCTACACAAGTCAGCCATAGCTTTGAATATTTAATTATTATCTAGTGACCTTATGCATACAAAATGTCAGCATGTACTCCAGTTTTAAAAAATAGCACATTATAGTTGACTAATTAATGTAAAGTGAGATGAAGTAACTATGTATATATACCTACTCACTAGCCATATCTTACAAATTGTGTTCCAAGTTGTTCTAAGTATCAGTGGTTTTGTATCTTGAATATTGAGACATTCATATTTTCCCGTCAACAAATTAGAGTTATCTGAGTCCTGGAAAAGCAGATATTGCAAAAACAGATGCAGTCCTATGAAAATCTCATCCAACAGATAAGCAACCTTGGTGATATACATTAATTATCTAAAAAAGCATTTTGAGTTCAGAAACCAGTTGAGATTTAGCCAAGAATATCCCGTGCCCATGGTGATTAACTAACCCAGATAATTCTAATGAACTGCTGTTGCTCATCTTCTTGACCTTGCAGGGCAGTTTAGGAAAACCTTTGAACCTTTCCTCCTTTTCCCAGTTGCACCCCTCTCTGCCCCCCATCTCCAAATGCTATGAAATGCCCACCTCTTGGAAGCAGGATGAATTATGCAAAAAGTAGATACATATAAATTGGCTTCATTTTCATAATCCTGTTCACAGAATTTGGGTTTCCCTGGCACTGTGTACACACAGCTGCTGTTACAGTTTGCCACGAGCAGAACACAGGACCCAGAAGTACCCACCAAATATAATGGGCCTGTGGGATACGTTTTGCAAAACAAATGTAGATGATAGGTAGAAGCCCACTGCACTATAGGAATGGGCAGACTTTAGGCTTGTGGGCGTTTATTTTGTTTTTTGCCAAAACCTCTAGGATCACCAAATGGGCTGAGGTGAAAACAGTAGCTCAGGAAGGTGGTCAGAAAATAAACAGAGTGAATGCTTGACCCATTTTTTCTTTTATTTTAATAATAAATTGAAATTGAATTTGCACAGATTCTTTTGGGCATAGCGGTGCATAGATCTGCTCTGGATTCCCTCTGGATTCCTTGCCTTTAGCAATCTGATCTACATGGAAAGATGCTCTTTTTGTTTTTGTTGCATCATGGAGAAAAACCATCAGCAAAATATTTACACCTCTCAGTGGTTTAACCATCACTTCTTCACTGCTCAGAGCATAGTGACCTACAGCAACGATCTGCATGTCTGTTATATATAGTATCTTCAATCTGGTTGCATCTCTCGCACACTGATATACTGGACACTGTGTTCCTTTATTTTGATGGAGATTTAGTTGAATCTCCTGTTGTACAGACCTACAGTATGTCCACAAGTAGCGTATTAGACACAGTTGTGATCATGGTCTCTCTAAAAATGTATTGTAGGATTCTGTAAGATGCATCTAAGGAAAATGCCAGCACTGTCATGGAGGGTAGGGTGGGGTTGGAGTACTTCTTTTGCCAAGTGACAGGTCCCAGTGTTTTTGGCTTCATCATTTAAGAAAACAAATGTAGTAAGAAGAGGAACATGGTAAAATTGTCTGTGGTGGGAAGAAAGTAGATGGACTAAGGTGTGAGGAAACATTATGCAGTAGGACCCCCATATCTGTGGAGGATCAGTTCCAAGTCCCCCCCCCCCACATGGACGCTTAAAAATGCAGATAATAGCAAATTCTATTATCAGTTCCAAGTTCCCACACACACATGGATGCTGAAAAATGCAGATAATAGCAAATTCTATTATAATAGTAAATGCTATACATAGCATGGTCTCTGACTCCCTTTCATTGCCAGTTCTGGTAACTTTGTCATTAAAATATTGGGGTGGGGTTCTTTTAATATTTTTAATATTTTCAGCCGTGGATGAGTGAATCAGTGGAAACTGATCCTGTGGATAAGGAAGTCCTACTTTAGTAGAATATGGTCAGCAGGTCTATCAGATACTCTGTTTTCAGCCCATTAAATATGCATTTTTTTAAAAAAACAATAAGAACTCAGGGGTCAATCAGACAAGCATTATACTGTAGCTCACTATTTGGCTCGCTTTTGGTGTGGCTTCATTTACTTTGTTTTCTGGTGACCATATGTGTTCTAAATAGAAACTGTCCATCTCGCCTCTATTGTGAGCTGTTCCACTCCTTTCTTACACAGCACTAGGGCTGCAGGCTTTTTTGTTTTTTGTTTTGTGCAATTGGAAACACTCCTAATTATCTCATTCTGCAGCTTTTGTGGTTGCTTAATTTGTTCCCAAATAGACCTGTGGACTGCATTCTCTTAGGTAACAACCTTGTGATGTATGCAATAGGTTGCGATGTAGAAAGAACAACAGAGAAAACCTCTCCTCAGTTTTCCTCTTCTCACAGTTTTTAAAAATATTCTCCTAATTGATGCAGTGTTATTTCAGATATAAGGGACTATCCGTGCTAGGC